GGGGAGGGCGGGGAGGAGGGGGCCGCGCGGACGCGGCGTTAACCACTTGGGGCCCTGGGCGCGGAGTTTCTCGGAGGCCCGCGGGAGTGGCACCTGTCACGCTGGGGACGGGGGTGTCCTAGAAAGCGAGCGGCGTGGACGAGGGGCGCGTGGGCGGACACGCGTCAGTCACCGTGGCAGGGAGCGGCGCAGGGGCCTGGGGTGGGGGGCGCGGGGCTCCGGGGGGTGTGAGCCGTGCGTGTGCGAGCGGTGTGTCAGTGTCAGAGACGCGCGTGAGTGGCAGCGCGTGGGAGGCCTACGTGTGTGCGGGGGCGGGCGGGGGCGTGGGAGGACGTCAGGGCTGTCAAGGTGACGCGGGCGGTGCCAGCTCGCAGGGAGGGGACCGGGGTCCACAGCCGCCCATGGCGGAGTGGGCAGTCCGGGTGGGGGGACGGGGACAGGTCCCTGCCATGGCGTACCCCACTTGCATGCGTCCCCCGAGGGCAAAGCTGGGCTTGGGGCTGCCTGCGGGACACGTGCCATCACGTGGAGCAGCGGGGGGGGGTGCGTGTGCTGCTCCCAGGTGCCAGCCTCGCCCCCACAGAGGCGCTGTGGGCATCTGAGGGGAGGAGAGGGCCCAGTGGGCTTCGGCTCCCTGCTCACCCCTCGAGCCGGGGAGTTACGGTGTCTCACGGCCTCTCGGCGGTGCTGGAAGTTGCACGCGTTGACGCGTGTGTCCTCCCGGACGTGCTTTCCTCGGCCGACTTCTCTCCAGGTCGCTCACCGGCCTGCGCGGCCTGGCACAGCCAGGAGCCCCGCCTGCCCCTAACTCCCCCGGCAGCTTTCCCCTCCCACCTGAGCACGCTGGCGTCTTGGCCCAGAGAGAGGCCAGAGGCCCCCTGTGGCAGAGGGCTCAGGGGCACGGGTTCTGCCCAAGCCCGCCTCAGGGCCGAGGGTCGGGCGGAGGGGTTGGCGGGAGGGCTGGGCTTTGGTCCTGTCAGTCGAGCACCACCTCCTCCAACCCCAGGCCTGGCTCCAGTCCCTGTGTGTTTGTTGACTTTTCTACTTGTCTGGGAAACAGCCGGATGCCAGGCTGCTGGCCCGGGGGTGTGGGCATCTCTGGCAGCCCCTGACTTGGCCAGAACCCCTCTTCCCTCTGGGGTGTGGAGGGAGCGGCAGAGACCAGGTTGGCAGTGCCTGGTGGGTAAATAACAAGGGACACAGGAAGGGCATGGGCCAAGCTGAGGGGCAGGAGTCTTGGCTTCAGGGGCTATAGGTGTGAGGAGGATCTTGAGGCCGGATAAAGGGGACAGAGGACGGAGATGGAGGGTACCACCCCCACTTGTACCTTGATGCCCAGTGGCGAAGAAGAGGCCTCAGGAGACACAGTGCCAAGCCTCGGCTGAACACCAGGGCTTGTTTTTTATTTGTTTTGTCTTTTGAGGCAGGGTCTCACTATATAGTTCAGGCTGGCCTTGAACTCACTATGTGTCCCAGGCTGGCCTCAAACTCAGTGATCCTCCTGCCTCTGCCTCCTGAGTGCTGAGACGACAGGCGTGCGCCACCACACCTGGCTAGAGCTTGTTTCTGAAGGACATATTCCAGGAACCCCGAGTCAGGGGACGTTTCCGGAGCCCAGGCTGGCAGGAGGGGCCGCAGAGCTGGGAAGAGGGTGAGAAGAAGGCAGAAGAGCCAGGAAGCCATGTGAGCGGAGAGACAAAGGGAAGCGCGGAGAAGGGAAAGGCTCACGACAGAGGCAGGAGAGAGATGGAGGGTAAAAATAGCTCGGCATTAAGATAATTGCAGCTCGCAGCTCTGCCCTCCGTGAGGAATTAAATGAGGTTTTATTACTTTGATTTTTCTCTCCTGGATCCTACGCGACTTCTCGAGAACTTGGGGAAAAGTTTCTTCCAGTGGGCGGCCGGGTGGCGGGGGCTGCGTGGGCGCCGGAGGGGCTGGGGGCTCTTCTGGGAGCCGCCGAGGGTGGGCAGGGGCTGCAGGAGGGTGGGCCCGGCACTTGGGGCGGGGGGCCAGCAGGACAGGGCCAGGCTGACCTCATTCACTTTGACTTGAAGTTAATCACATGCAAATGAGATGCAAAATAACATGCCACTCTCGGGTTATTATTCTTGAGTTAGAAGCGCGGGGCGGTTAGGTCCACAGAACAGATTCAAGACCTCGTTTGACTTAACTCTGATTGAGCTGTGGGTTTCCCTGGACTGACAGTTTATGGCGAGGAGTCCGTCACGGTTGTGGGCAGCCGGAGCATGAACTCACTCTTCTTTCTGTGTTGGAGAGGGGACCCAGGGCCAGGCCAAGGCTCTGCCGCTGAGCCACACTGCGGCCCTGGGCACGATACTTTGGGGTGTGTTCCTCCCCACATCTTCGCGGTGCCTGCCCAGAGCCTGGCGTGTGGGGGCTCGACCCTCTCCTTCCCTGGAAGGCGCCTTTGAGCAGGCGCTGTGAGGCCACTGGCCTCCAGGAAGGCACGGAGAGGGGACAGTTGGGAACCTTTCCACCTTCTCCTTGGGCAAGATGTCCCCTGGACAGGACTGAGACTGGAAAGACAGATGTGATAACCCAGGTCTGTGGTCCCAGCACTCAAGAGGCCGAGGCAAGAGACTCCGCATGTTTGAGGCCAACCCGGGCCACTCAGTGAGTTCAAAGCCACCCCCGGGTACATAGCGAGATCCTGTCTCAAGAAAAGGAAATACACCGGGGATGTGGACTGCCTGGGGGGGAATCACAGGTCTGCAGTTTCTTGTGGGAGCTTGGACAAATCTCTTAGCTCCTGTGCACCTCTGCTCCCTTGTGTTTCAAAGGCCACCTTGCACGGCGACAGGTCCAAAGGATGAAATGTCCCCAGCCCAGCTCAGAACTCCTGGCTGCCTTCGAAGTTTCGGTCCTCCCTGCCGATCTAGATTGCAGTTCTGCGAGGGGCCAGCAGGTGGCGGAATCGGCCAGGGTTCGACGCTGTGTGGCTGGTCCCGGGGTGTGCGGTTGGGCATTGCGCGTATGACCTTGGCGCTCTGAGCTGGCAGGCCTGGCACGCGGCAGCTGGAAGGAAGGCCCCGGAAGTCGTGGGAGGCAGCTTGGGAGAAGACTGGGCACGGGGCATCTTTCCTTGTCTCGAAGAGAGGCAGGATTTGTGGGAGTGCACCAGGGACAAGAATCCCAAGGCCCATCTCTGGGGACACCTAGGGACCCTCAGCTAGAACGATGGTGGCACTAGACAGATGGCAGTCACCTAAGATAGTTCATAACACATTTGTTAGTTGTTTCATATTGGGCGTTTACCTGCTTTTTTACTGTTTTTTTGTTTTGTTTTGTTTGGTTTTTTTTTTTTTTTTTGGTTTTTGAGACTGGGAATGGAACTCACGACCTTACGCTTGCCAGGCAGGTGTTGTACTGCTGAGCTCAATCTCCAGCCTTTACCTGCTTTTTAAAAAAGTCAACTTTACCCCTGGGCTGGTAGTACATGCCTGTCATCCCAGCACTTGGGGAAGCTGACGCAGGAGGATTGCCTGGAGTTAGAGGCCAGCCAGTGTTATACAGTGGGTTCAAGGCCAGCCTGAGCTACGTATCAAGACCCTGTCTCAAACAAATCAAAACCATACCAAACCAAACCACCAACGAAGCAAAATAAATACTCAACTTTATCAAAACCAGGCACGTGGGAGCATGCACACCTATAATCCCAGCCACACAGGAGGCTGAGTTGGGAAGATGCAGGCCAGCCTGGGCAACACAGCAAGACTGTGCCTCAAAAACCAAAACAAAACAAAACAAGAAAAATAACCATTTTATTGAGTTGGAGATTACATACAACAAAGTGCACCACTCTGAAGTATACACTTCAGTGAGCTTTTGAAAATTTTGTGTTGAATGTGAGCACCCCAGGTACAGAATGTCTCCACCACGCAGAGGTACCGTGTCCCCCATCCAAATCCACCTCCCCACAGCACTCATGTATTTTAAAAGGATTCCTTCCTGTCTTTTTAAAAAAATTTTTGAATGGTCCTAGGGATTGACCCCAGGGCCTTTGCACAGGGCTGCATTCCCAACCCCACTCTGTTTGAGACAGGGGCTCACTAAGTGGCTAAGTTGCCCAACCTGGACTCAAACTGTGGATCCTCCTGCCTCAGCCTCCCAGAGTGCTGGGATTACAGGTGTGTTCCACTATGTCTGCATGCCCACCATCTGTCTTTACATGGTGCCCAGCATTCAGTGGGCACTGCATACCTTAGCATGGACTGAGGAATGAATGGACTGATGTAAGTCATAGAAATGGATGGCATGCATCACTCATTTCACCCTCAGTAGTGTGTGTGTGTGTGTGTGTGTGTGTGTGTGTGTGTGTGTGTTGTGTGAGACAGAGTCTTGCTCTGTATGTAGCCCAAACTGGCCTTGAACTCACTATGTAGCCCAGGCTGGCTTCAAACTCAGGGCGACCCTCCTGCCTCAGCCTGCCCAGTTCTGGGATCACAGGCGTGCGCCACTACGCCCGCCGGCCGGCGATCTTCACGTCTGCCTTTCAAGTCTTCAGGATGGACGCGAGGAGGACGAGCGTGCCCTGGAGCGGGGCTTCTCCCTTGTTTAGCTGGGCCGGAGCCGGCAGCCGCGGAGATCCGCGTGCCCCGGTCGCCCTCTGGTGGCGGAAGCGAGCACAGCCGTCTCTCTGCGCCCTCTGGGGCCCCCACGTGGACGCTGCGCGGAGAGCTGGCTGCGGCCCCAGCGGGCAGCCTGGGCCCCGGCACCTGGAGACCCCCTGCTCTGGCCTCGGCCTGGTGCCCCCTGAGGTGCCAGCTGAGGCCGCCCCGAAGATGCCAGCTGCCGGACTCCCCGCCGCCCGCTCCCTGCACCAGCCCCGCACGCACTGCAAGCCCGGTCCAGTCGGCTGCTTCCATTCCCTGAAGAAGAGGCCCTAAAGTTAAAACAGCTGTTAATTTATAAACCAATTTTTCCGTGACTGCGTAATAAATCGCCAGCAGCTGCTCGGCCCCCTCCTCCTGCCCGGCCCTGGCCCCGGGGGCTGCCGCAGAGGCTCGGAGCCGCCAGTCCGCCCTGTGCCTGCTCCCCAGCCCCCCACCCGCCCCTTCTCCCAGAATTGGGGCTGGGGGGACCCTCGCCATCCCGCCCCTCGGGGTTTCAGGGGAGTGGCTGCCTCTCCTGGGGGCCTGCAGCCCCAGGCCATCCTGAGAGCCCCAGCCCATGCCCAGGTCCAGGTGTGTGTCCCGGGCGCCTAGCTCTGGGAGACAAGGGCACCCAGGTGCCCTGGGGAGCCCCCAAGTCACTGCGGGTATGAAGTCGTGGGCTGCCCTGGCTCCTCCCCGAGAGCGCGTGTATCTGGGGCTCCCGGCTCAGGGTGGTCCCGATGACAGATGCTAACCGAGATGCTGATCCGACCCTGTTGTTCTCCGAGGGTGGGCTGGGGCAGGGAGGCCACAATCTATGGCAGCCTGAACACCAGAGGCTGAGACCGTGGCGGGGAGGGGGCCTCCTGGAGGGGCGGATGGGGCTGTGCTCTCCCTGCACCTGCAGGTTCCAAAGACACCCAGGGCCAGATGTGGTGGCGCACGCCTGTCATCCCAGCACTGGAGAGGCTGAGGCAGGAGGATCACTATGAATTTAAGGCCAGCCCGGGCTACCCAGGGAGACCATGTCTCAAAAGACCAACAAAACAATCAAAAAAGGTACCCGGGGTGCAGTTCTGCTGACCCTGGGATCCCTGACACCGCTGGTGGGGGAGGGGAGGAGTGTGTGTGGCCAAGCCCCACAAACAGTAAGACAGGAGACCAGGCTGAAGGGTGCCCTGGCTCACGCCTGCAATCCCAGCACCAGGAAGGCTGAGGCAGGAGGATCACAGCAAGTTCAAGGCCAATTTGAACTACATAGTAAGACTCTAGCTCAAAAGACCAAAAGTAGGTGGTGCATGCCTGTAATCCCAGCACTCGGGAGGCTGAGGCAGGAGGATTGTTGCGAGTTCAAGACCAGCCTGGGCTACAAAGTGAGTTCAAGTCCAGCCTGAACTGCATAGCCAGACCCTGTCTCACAAAAAAAAACAAAAAGACCAAAAGCAAATAAATATAAAGATGGAGGCCTGGGGATGGAGCTCAGTGGCACAGCAGCTGCCTGGCAAGCACAAGGTCATGAGTTCGATTCCCAGTACCAAAATAAAAATAGAAATGTATTGCAGAGGGGAACCTTCCCTTTCCTCCCGTGGGCTCACCAGGGGCTGCCATGACCTCCTCAAGCCTGTGTCCATCAGGATGGAGGCATCGGGTTTGGACTCTGCTGCCCCACAGCGCTGGTCTTCCTTGTGTGGCCCAGAGCAACTTATCCAACCTCTCTGCCCTGAGGGACCCTCCTGGTCCATCAAGATCTTGGCTCAGGGCCCAGCAACCAGCTGAGGACACAGGGTGGATGGAAAGGGCAGCGCGGGTGGGGGAAGGAGCAGAAGCCAGAGCTGGGCTTCAAATCCCGCTCCATGACTCCTGGCTGGGTGACACCAGGGCGGGGACAGTGCCGACGTCGCCCTGCGCGGTGAGCTGGCTCTCCAGCCAAGGAAACGACCCTTGAGTCCCTTACCACCCCCACTGGCCACCAACCTCCTTAGATGTCGCCACCCCAGGGTATGTGGGGGGCGGGGGCTTAGACGGTGGCACACCCAGGCTGACGCCCTGGCTTCCAGTCCACGCAGGGCAGGCCCAACCCTCACCTCCGGTGCCCACCTCCGCCCCCCCTCAGGCTTGGGCACCAACGAGCGCCTCCCCAGTTACAGGCGCTAAGAGGCAGTCAGCTCGCTCCTGTGCCCAGGTCCTGAGCAGACCTGGAAATCAAGCAGGGTCCCAGGGGCCCACTCTAGCCCGGAACTGCTCTGCCAGGGTGCCAGCTGGTGCCCACGGGGGCGGGGCAGCAGGCCGATCATGTGGAAAGGGACAGCCGCAGGCAGCCCTACTCTTGCTGCCCCCCGTGAGAGACACGAAAAGACTCTGGGGCACTCAGGACCTCCCCTGGGAGCAGGAGGCCCGGAGGACTAAGACTGACCTGCCTGTGCCTCAGTTTACCCAGCCAGCCCGGGAAGGGAGACTCCCTAAGGCCCTGGCATCGGCCCCCCAGGACCCCCTGCCCTCCTTCCTTCTTAAAGAGCTCGCCCTCCTCTTCGTCCCGCCCAGCCCTCTCCTCAGGAGCCCCCGGGGACACCTCGCCACGAGGGCAGGCAGGAGCCACGGCTCCAGCGGGCCCTGCCAGGCGCGCCCCGCCCACCCCGGCCCTGCCCGGCCCGGCCTCCGCTGGCCCTTTAAGAGGCCCCGCGCGCGCGTCCCGGATCAGCCGGAGAGACCATTAAAATTTTATGCAGAATGAAAATGGGCCAGGTCTCCAGCTTCCCCGCTCCATCCAATGATTTATTACTCGCAAATACCACAGAACTAATTAGTATAGTAATTAATTAATACGCATTTGCATATTTGCATGTGCAATTAGCGCAGTGGAGTGATGACTGGGAGCGCGGGCCGGGTGTCAGATGCGGGGGAAGCGGCCCGGAAAGAGTTCGCGGGGAGCAACTTCGCGGGGAGCGGGGACGCGGGGCGGGTCCGGGGCCCCGTGCGCCTGGGTCGGGGTCCGCGGGCCGGCGCCCTGTCGCGAGCTTTGCGTCGCGGTCGCCAGCGC